ATATATATATATATATATATATATATATATATATATATTATATATATATATATATATATACTGTTTCCCCCTGTGTCTCTGTCTCTCACTTCCATCTCTCTTTTTTCTTCCCTCCACATCTGTTAATCTGCTCAGGGAATAGCAGAAAACAGAGTTTTCCAAACCTCTGTGCATTTACGTGTCATGCAATTCATCACTGGTTGAGTCCTAAGTTCTGAGAAAGTCATATTTTGACTGAGAAATGGGGCCTGAACTTAAATCAGATTATGGGTTGCGCAACAGTAGCCCAGAGCTGGAAGTTGGTTTATTGGAGGTTTGGTGTAAAGGTGGTTGGATTAGATTTATACATCTTCGTAAAAAAAAAAAAAAAAAAGAAAAGCTAAAAGAAGACCAACCAGACCTCCAGGGGTGTTTTTGGATCCACTTCATCTGAAAAACCTGCTGAATATTTGACGGAAGCTAACATTTCCAAAAACAGCCTCCCATCGCACAACTTATAAACTCATCACTTGTGCAGTTGAAGATATTGTCACTAAACGCTTGACTGAATAACATTGCTCGTCTGCACACGTCTTTGGGTGAACAAAGAGGCAAGACTTATACCTGTTTGAAAGACAAATAATGACACTAAAATCAGAAATAACAATAAACTAAAACATAAAATTACACAGCAATAATGTGGCAACTGAGTTCAAAGTCATAAAAGGCTTTGAATTAAACCCAGAACATCCTTGCTGTACATCAGCTGAGCAAACACCTGCTCCACTGTTTGGCCGTGACCAACTTAAACTGTGTTTTTATGCATTTCTTTTCTTTTTATCTTTGATAAATGCTAAAGATGCCAATTTATGGCGTGCTAAAACGAACAAGGTGGTTTCCAATAATTTATTAACTAAACAGTTGCTGCAAAATAGTCAACTGCAGTATGTTGACTTGCTGAGTTTATGGTTAAGGACATTCTTGAACTGTTTGTCCCGATTTCTAAAAGGTACAAAATGGCTTCGATCATTTCATACTCACAAATCTAAGGTTGAGTTTTCACTAAATCCTTTCATTCGACTACCACATAAATCAATTTTACTAAGAATAAAGCATCGCTGCTTTCACAGCTACAAGCAACGACAGACATGAGTTAAAAAACAAAACAAACAGGAGAATTAATAATTACAAACTCTTTAAAAATTACAGGAAGGTCTGTGTGAATGCAGTTACTCATTTCAAACATATGGGAGCATGCTGGACATCTAAAGGTCAATCATGCCGGGTGCCCAGCTCCTCTGTACCACAAATATGTGTATTGTTAGTGCATGGCTCTCTGCAAAGCCATAAAAGCCCCAGCTCCTGTTTAGACCTGAGGTTGCCCTCTGGTCTTTGTGTTCCCATCATGGTTCATCTCTGATTGATTCTGACAGGAAACAATAATGGACACGCAGTGAGAGGGAATTCTCTCTGACTATTTGTCAGTCCAGATTAGCTCAACCCATTAGCCCCAATTCTCTGTGAGTGGCTGCAGACCTTCAGTGAGGACAGGATAAAATGTTATACTGGTGAATCTCAAAAATTTTATATCTGTACTTTTGTAAAATTCCCATATAAAAGGTCTACATGACACCGTGAAACTGTCATGTTCTTGTGATCTAAAAACCATTTGAATGAAATAAATTTTGCCTTCAATGTGACCTAAAACCTTTGCAACTCGACTGAAAAGCAAACTGAAATGTTTAGGCGGAAAATGAAAATATAAAAGCCAGAAAGATCTGGTTGCTTAAGTGTACACACCCTCTTCTAACAGGGTATGTGGCTGTGTTCAAAATTAACCGCAACATTAAATTTCCTGTTACAAAGAGCTGGGTTCACACCCACCAGCATTTAAAGTGCCTCTGATAAACCTCCAAATAAGCTTCAGCTGTTTCTCGAAGTGCTTCCTGAAATTTCCTCATAGGTTTCACAGATTGGAATTCTTTTACTGCAGATATCAGTCAACACAAAGGCCCACAAGATTTTCCAGTGCATCGGATATTCTGAGAAATGGGCATGGAATATATGAAAACAGTAATAATCCAGTTCAGAACATAACAAAATTACTGAGAACTGTGTGTCCCTTCATGATTGATAAAAGGACAAGAACAAAGCTGCTCAAGAAGGCTAAGAATTTAATCAAGTCTGGCTATATTTTGAAAAAAAAAGAAGAAAAAAACTAATTAGAATTTTTCCAAATGAATGTGGTGAAATATCTTAATCTCTGATGAAGCCAAACTTGACTCACAGCCATAATTCCTGAAGGTATGCTTGGTGCAAAAACGACACTGAATGGAAAGAGAGCAACGCATGACAGTAACTGTCAGGTGTTGAGACTCTTTTTCTTGAGTCTTAAAACAGTCAAGGTAAAGAAAAACACGAACAGTTGAAGATAGCAGTCAATGTTGACACAAACCTACAAGCTTCAGAGAAATTTGCCAATTTAACAGTAGTGTGTTGACTTTTTATGTCACTTCTTAGTGAGTGTTTGGTCAAAACTTCTTAATTCCATGTTAGCTTTTTTATGACATAAAAACGTTTAGCGTGGCAAAATAAATCAATTTAAGTGGTCAATAAAAATGCTGTTATTGAATAAATTTCTCTACATATTAAAAGTAATTTAGAAAACATGTTTAGGACATCATACTTATCAGTTTTTAGATGCATTAGATCTTTTTTTGTTTTTTGAAATCAAGCATATTTAACAAACAAAATCTAAATCATACAGTTTAGGACTTTGTGCATCAGAAACAAATTGCTTTGATGAACAACAGGCTTGCAAGACCCAAATTGATAGCTGTGCATTAACATATAATATTAATTGGAAAATACAGGTTTCTGTGTGATTTATATGACTATTATAGAGAAAAATAAGAAAATAATGACATGTCTGCGTGTTAATATGCCCTGGAAATAAGAGTAATGGTGTGTCACCTGGGAAAGCTGTTAGGCATAAATCTCTGAAAAAGGGCTCTTGAATTTATTACTCCAGCATGAAGCAGAAAAAAACAGAGCATGCGCTCGCAGGAAACAGGTGAGGCTGGTGAGATTCAAGCAGAACTCATGTTTTTCTTACTTTTGAGAAAATGGCATTTTAAATGGCATTTCAATGTGGCAGACTGAACCAGCGGATAAATTCATCTTTTCCTCATCTGGAGTTAAGTGTTTTCACAGGTTTGCTGCAGAAAAGGCAAAGCGCTTAGTGAACAGTTTAATGTTGCAGCTTTAAAACGGCTTGCATGGTTTAGCATGTTGTATTTTTAATAACAGACTTCATCAAACAGTATTACGGCTGAAAAGCATCATAAAGGACAGATGGCGCTGACGGGGAAAGCGTCACACAGGATACGAATTCAGACACGTTCGCCTGACTGAGAGGAAAATGAGGTCTAACTTTACGTATTGCTGTGATCAGATTAAGACTTTTTCCCTTTCTGTGCCATCTTCTTCCACTGAGGCTTCACACTGCTCTAAAACAGGGACAGCAATGTCTTTTACTGGTGTGAAGTATGACAGGTGGTTTTTTTTTTTTGTTGATAAATCAGTAGAAAAAAAGAAAAAAAACTGCAAACTGAAAGCAGCAAGATTTCAAATCACACACTGGCTCAGCAAGCAACAGCTGCAGAAATAAAAATAGAAATGAGCTTTTATAAACGTATGAAAGGCACATGTTGATGGGAACTGTGCTAGTTTTGTTTGCGAATGGAAATCTAGATAAAGGACATACAGTTGGAAAGGTTATTGAACTCAAACTGTTAAACAAACCATTGATGAATCCTAAACGTCACCTTCCTGTAAAATGAAAAAAGTAAACAGTGTTTCAAAAATGTTAGAAATGTTTAATAATTGCTTAGTCCATCTACAAAATAACCAGAAAAACGTTTGGAAATTGAAATGTGTTTTCTTGTCAGTGAATGCACCACACCTAAACATTAACAGGTCACACTAAAAATGACACAAGTAAAAGCTAAATTCATTTATATTGAGGTGTTCCAAAATGATGTTTTATCTACCTTACCTTTGTATGAATAGCATTTTGTGCAAACTGTTCTTATTTTAAATGTGCTTTGTAAATAGTTTGGACATCGGATGTCGCACAAGGCATCTGGATATTCCTAAAAATATTTCTTTTTTTCTACATGCATCTGTTGCAGGCTTCAATCTTTTGAGAATCTAGAGTTAAGGTCAACGTTCTACGTTCCCTATAGGAAATACTTACACTACATTTACCAATCTTAACTGTGGTAAAAAATGAAATTTCTCTAAATATTTTGTGCTTGTTTTAAAATAACAGTAGCACCATTTATCAGATGAGCTGTGGAGCTAATGTGTCATCTCTGTTCCTATAGTGTGACCAAAAAAACTCTTCTGTGGATCTAAAATAAACTGATGAATGACTTTTGATAGACACCTCCTTTACAAATGGGAAGGGTCAAGAGTATTAGTAGAGTTTCGGAAATACAAGGAGAGACCGCTGGTTTTTTATTTTATTTTACTGTAAACCTTTTATTGTAGGAACAGAAAAAAAATTCAATTCCTCCAGAGACATTTTAAAGTCTGTCAGTCCTAGTTTCGAGATTTCAGAAATTGGTCCCAAAAACTCTGATTGTGTCTGATCTCAAGACATGTGTTCATCCTTCTGAATTTTCTTTCTTAAGTATTGTAGTTGGATGCTATGGTTTGTAGAAATGTTTTAAGCCCTGGCCTTGCTTCTGCTGTTTCATTTTGTTTCTGATTTCCTGTTTCGAAAGCTGAACACGACATCTGCCTCATATGAATGCCGATAACATTGTCAACCATCCCGGGGAAAAAGTTAAACTGAGGACAACTTTTTGTGGCCTCTGTTTTTATTTCTACACCTTGCCATTTCTGAGCTGCATACTTACACTTTTCTTGTGTTGCCGCAACAAAAATGCCAGGATTTAACTCTGTGAACTCCCACCTTTAAACAACATGAGTCAGACACACACTGGGGCACAAACAACAGGTTAAGCTAGTCTAATACATATAGATACAAAAGTTGGACATCATTTCTAAATTACAATGTAACAGTATCCTAGGTATAGTACAGAATAAAATGGCTTTCATTGTGGATAATGACGACACGCGTCAATTCCCTTCTGTTAGTGAAACAATCACTATATGACAAGTTACATAACAGACAAAATCTGCTATTAATGTAAAAGAAATCTCATAAAAGCTCGTTGCATAACACTTGCTCTCTTCCAGTAAATTCTTTGATGTTCAAGGAGGAAAAAAAAATAATAATTTGAACCTGTTAGGAATGAAAACATCCAGTGAATGGCAGCGCACCCGTGGCTAGTTTCCAACACAATCCTTTCCTGCAATTCAGGTCCCCTTTTCTTCTTTCCTGTCCATCCGCTCTAATAGATGCACAGAAAATAAAAGGGCCACCGCTGCTGGCTGGCCAAAAGAGAAAACCTTGGCTCAATTTCTTTGTTCATTGCCTTTCCATTGCAAATCCAACAGGCATTCTCACTCAGCTCTCCTTTCCCCAGACCACAGCTATGGCTTTGGATACAGCAGTGAGTCTGTCCTTTCTCCTTTTGTGTTTGAAGATAATGCCCACTGTCTACAGAGAAGGGAACTTAAGGAAAGTTTAAACAAAATCCCCAGCCAGAAAGAAATCCGACCATTCAGGGGAGCAGATTTTAAAATTTAGGACAGAAATAAAAAGCTGCACTGCTGACAATGTTGAGATTGTAACTCTATGGATTATCTGACTTTTGAAGTTGAAAATGGACCATAAAATAAATTTGATTCAGCTGGGGTTAAATTTGGGTCAGGTTTTAAAAATAACTTGCCTCTCGGAAGTGTCTCTGTAACAGCAAAATTAGCAAGGAACAAGAAGAAAAAATAGTTTTTGTTCAGAGAAAAGCCACGGGGTCAGTTTAAGTATTCATCACAGCTCAGAGTCTACGAGGTTTTCCTCTTCTGTACCTAGTGAAATCTTTTCAACTCAATCAGTCTTTTGTGTCCTCTCAGCTACATTTGCAAGACTTGACGATCATGTTGGAGAGCTGCTCCACCTTAGGGGTCCGTCCAGAGTAGTAGAGAATAGTGAGGGGCTCCAGGTCCTGAGGAACACAGCAGGGGGCGGCGGAGGCCTCTGGATTCAGAGTGTTGTACAAGCTCAGCAGCTGTTGGGAAACAAAGCGTGGATGTAAAATATCTCACTCACACGTTTTTAATGTCTTCTGTTTAGTCTGTTATGCTTGTGTATAATTGAAGAAATATGGGAACGATTTGGGTTAATTCACAGCAGAGAAACACTCGGACAATGTGAGAGGAATGTCTGCAAATACTGCAATGGCCAAAATATTTGCATATTCATTTTTATACTATAACACTAAATAATTGCATAACTTTCTTGTGCATTTCTGCCCAGGAACAAAATTATGAATCACAGCACATCTAATTAGCGTATCATGTACCTTTGTCAATCCAATTACCAGACTATGGAAGAATATATTTTTAAATATTTCCACACACTTGTGTTCTTTTACCACGCTTATCCATACACAGAAAATAGAAAAATATGCTCTAGAATTGGTTTGAAAAGCTATTTCTTTCCTGGACAGCGTGCGGAGCCCCCCAAATGCTTTAATAGTGGCTGAAACAAAATATGTAGTCTTATTGGACAAAGTTTCTATCAAAATCTTCCACACATTTTACTCTTTCACAACTAAATGATGAACACATGTGAATGGGAGCAGTTTTTTTTTTCAGAGTTAAACTAGAACAGGTTCTTGATGAGGTTGACCACATTGGTTTAGAGTTAAGAATTTTTAATTCTAAAAAACACACCGAGCTATGTGTCGTGTCGGAGCTCCTCAGGTAAGGGCAGGGACCGGAGCAGTAGTTGGCATCGTAGCCACTGGGCTCATGGATCCACTTCCAGTCCAGATCGCGGCGGAAATCTATGTGGAGCCGGCGAACGCAGCAGCTCTCCTCCGTGTTTCTGTGGAGCACAAGAACATCTAATCCAGTTGCGTGAAGTTTAATCTCACAAGCAATTCACTCCCGTCGCTGAACGAAGGCTTACGAGAAGCAGTAGTTTGTGTCCAGCGCTCTTTTGCGTCGGCGAGAGGAGTGGGTGTCCATGCGGTGGGGTGGGATCATCATGAGGATGAGGTGAGGAGGGTGTTGCTGCTTATTTTTTTTCAGGTTGTCCAGATCCAAGCGACTCTGCTCCTCATCTCCATCAACACCTAAACCACAGAACAAGATTCAGCTTCTCTATCACCGTCTATTTACCATCACAGCATCTTCTGTAGTGATTTTCATCAATCGTTGCATCCAATTTGAAAAGTGTGTGAACGTTTTTTTCTGCTATTCTTTCACACAACGGAGATACAAGACGTTTCGACCAAACACTCACTAAATCACATAAGGAAGGTGCAACTTAACTGAGGAAACCCACCTCTAAACTTCACCTCCAGAATCTCCTTTTCATTGTCGATGATGTCACCGTTTGAATTGAAGGTATGACAGGGACAATGCACACTGATTTCCAAACCTAGATTAGATCCTAATACCAAACAATCATGAAAGGGAGAGCAGCAAAAAGATTTTAATGTAAGCAGGAGTGATTAATGATGCGTTATTTTAAACTCTTTCAGATAATGTTAACCCCACCTTTGTTTATCAGCCACTCTCGTACAGTTTCTGTCACATCGAAGGTGACCCACTCAGGAGAGCCTCTGGTCTGCACATTTTTAGCAGCGATGAAACGCTGCTTCCTGATGTGCTCGTTTAGTCTCAAAATCTGCAAAACAGTGATTCCGAATTATAAGTATAAGCTTGCTCGCTACTCGTAGGTTGTCGACAAATGCATGCCATAATTTGCAACAAATTTTCTATTAACTACAATTTTGTACTATTTTGCGTTTGTCTTTTGTATAAATCCAAAATTCATCACATAAAGTAAAGGATGTGGTTGTAATGTGACAAAATAGGAAAAGTTTAGATTGTTGGTGTAGTGTTGAAAGGTTCTGTGAAGAGTTGAGGTTTGCTGTTTTTTTCTTTATTATTATTGAATCCAGCTTTGGTCATGGGACAGGGAGATTTATATCATTTCAAATTCCCCCGAGTATCTAGTGAAAATGCAGCAGAAGGTTGTTAATTTCGGCCTCTCCATTATGGGGCAGAACTTAGGGATGTTATTTCAGCTGAAGAAAGAAATATCTCAAGGCTTAAGGGGTTTTAATAAATGTTCATGACAGACTGAAAATGTGGAATTTTTTGTAAAATAAGCAGATATATATAAAAAAAGATCTATGACTTAAGGTTCTGCGTTTGATATTGGTAGAAGGACAAAGAAACGCTACCTTTACGCACCTGGTAGAGCTCAATCCGCTGTTCACTTCTCATGGCTTTGGGGTTTGGTACCCTCAGGACTCGAAACTCTGCTCTGAACAGGTTGGTTGAGTTCCTTTCCATTTCAGTGACATTGAAGCGGAAAACTTTAGAAGTCAGGCTTTTAGGGCAGGGCAGATTATCTGGTGAGGAAAAACAGATGAAACATGGCTTTTAAGCAAAAGAAAACGTGCTGAAACTCAATGAGGTATTCACAGAAAACCATATAATTTTTCACTAATACGTTCTAACTGAATAGTGTAGGGATAGGGTGCTGTGACTTAATGTTCAAATATCAAGATAGGGGCTACGGAAAGTAATTATTAACTTCAAACTTTGCAAATAAAAGCAAAAGTCACAAAGTAATTCTAAAAAACCCATAATTTCTAGTTTCTTAAAATTTAACTATTTAATTTTCCCCCAAACAGTGCAGCATCATTGAACTATTTCAGCCTCAGCGATAGACATTTGAGTGATTTCTGCTGATGAGACGCTGCTATGACTTTAAAGGGCCACCAGGGTGAGCTAATGAAGAAGTTAGCAGAGGATCACAACTCTGGTCAGATTATGCCGCTAGCAATGTCTATAGATTCTTTCCTCTGTGTGCTGTCCATTTCCCAATTATCAATAAATGTACCACTGGGAGTAATGAGTAATTTTTTTCAAACTGAATAAAAGCAGTCACACTAAAACATTTCACATGAAATTAAGCTACTGCAATGAAAAGTATTTGGCTTTTCTTCACATCTTTGTCAGAACGAGAATAAATGTGTCAAAGCTGTCCTTTTATATAGAGTCCTATATGAATATATGACCAAAACTCAGTCCTCACATTGCAACATACAATAGGCTGGCAGGTTTTTTTCCAGCTCACAGTGAATGAGGTTTTCTGCTGCCTCTGTTATCAAAATTCCTCACTGGTTCCCCAGCAGATTCTGTCTATATTTGGAGAAAGTGATAACATTGATAGTAAAATGCCAAGATTTTTTAACTGTCATATGACTTCATCTCAGTGGTATCTGTGTATCAAAGGTCTTGCTATACTCAGTTCTGTTGATAAGCTGTGGGAGCTGACGCTTTTGTTATCGTGGTGACTTCCCTAATGCCAGGCACTGACATATACCAGATCTGTCATGCACATGAACCCCCAAGATGGAAATCTTTTCTGTCGTTTGCTGACCTTCTTGTGGAGTGATGAAACGAGCCCTTTTGTGCCAACTTCCTGCTTTGTTTGCAACGGTCATGTAGTTTCCGTGTCCATTTTTCTTTTTCAATGTTATAATTAGGGCAAAACAAAATGTGTTCAGTGGACCATATTTGAATTTGTTTCTATTTAGTTGTAGGGAACTGCTTCAATATTATTTGAGTATCTTGATGTCTTGAAAAGAGTTTGATTAGTGATTCAAATGACAAAGATGGATGGATATAAGCTAGGACGGGTACAGTAAATTTGAAGGCTTGCTGTTGTGACAGATGTGCATGTAATGGGAAAAGTCTTTAGAAAACAAACTATTTTCCATGCATCTGCAAATATAGAGTTTTCTAAATTCTTTTTCCCCATCAGAAACTTTTATTGACAGTCACTAGACAGGACATGTGCAGGGGTACAGAGGGGATAGCAAGGGTCCTGGGGTTGGGAATGAAACCCAGTACAACTGCATCTAGAGCTGTTGCCCTACCCCATGTAAAGCCACAAAATCACAATGGTTTGACTTCAAAACAAAGGTATGTTTTGCTCCACATTACCCACCCTGTGTTTCTATATTGGCACTATATTTTTTACCCTTTTCACATTCGTATCCATGACATAAACATCCACACAAACTTTCCCAATTTGTGAAAACTGAAAAAACAGAACAGAAGACATCACATGATAAGTTGAGCCTCACACCATGTGGACACAGTGTGTTTGACAGCAAACAAGGCCTGATTTCCATATCTGTAACAGCAATTCATCCAACATTCATCCACATGGGGAGTTATTAACTCCCCATGACTTTAAATTTATTTTAAAAACCTGTTCAAGGCACAGCTGACAGGTATTTGTTTTCCAAATGGTTCTTGTGCAACAAGCGTTGCAAGGTTTCTAATGACGTTCTGGCCATCTACTTTGTGGCCGACATCAAAAACGGCACTTACTGGCTCCTTATTGTTCAAATGAACAATTTCTCAGTAAATAAAAACACAGACATTTTACATCTATCTGGAACTTGGGAAGCTTTCAGTTTGTAATCCATAAACATATTGTTTCTCTTTGACGTGATCTGACACAGACAGTTTTTTTCTGTAGGACAAGAGAACAAGCAAGTAAAGCAGATGTGTGTCGACCTCTTTAAGTCAGAAAACGGCTACACGAAATTAGCTTCTCCGCCAGTCAGAGAAATGATTAAAAAGTTCAAAAGTATTGGAGCTGTGACAAACAAGGCTGCAGGAGGATCCAAGTTTATATTGCTCCCATGCAGGAGGATGAAAACATAGAAAATAAAATTTAAAATACCAAAGAGAAGCAAATTATAGGATCTAAATAATGGCATCTGTACCAGAAGTGGCAACTACACCTTGTGAAGAGAAGTTTGCATATGAATACTGCTGAAACTTAAATTAAATCTTCTATTTGTCTCTGTTTTTTTTCCAGCTGTTCACAGGCAACTGCCTTAAAATAAACTCTAGTTCTCACTTGTTAGCATAAATTTACCTGAAGCTAATCTAAGGTTCTGAGAGCAGGACTCCACTGTTTGGTGTTTTTGGTCCAAATCACTTTTGAAAGATTCGAACCAGAACATTACAGAGGGGAAATTAAACTTCTGGAAAGCTGTTGATTTCAAAGGCACAGTGATGCAATAAGTTTGGCTTTGCTCTGGACCGTGAGGCTCTCTTCAGCATTTATTATCCTATTCTACTCTCTCAGTCTTACCACAGACACGTGTCCCTCTCTCCACAAGTTTTCCATTTCCATGCCGTTTATTCTATAAAGAGAAAAAATGCTGGTAACTATATAAGTTTGGCATAAAATATGTGGCGTAAGAAGAATATGAGCCTAAACAGCCTTTCCTGATTATTTTAACAAATTGGTCCCATCCAAAGTAAAGCTCATTATAAACAGAGCACCCAAAACCATACTTAGTGGCAAATTGGCAACAAATTGGAGGCATAATGGAGGAATCCATGTTGAAGGTTCTGTTTCACTCTCAGTTTAGCAAAGCTGAACCTTAACAGTGAGATGATCTCACCCTCACAGACCACCTGTGTGTGTAATTATCAGGCCAAGACACAGCGGGCTCGTTCGGAGCACCACCTCTGTCTGTGAATATGAGGACTTCGCCGAGAGCGGGATCTCTATGTCAAAGTTAATGAGGAGGGTCCCCTCTATCCTCCAACCCTTCCTGTCCACCTCTGTTAACTTTCCCTTCCCCTAAAGGCATCCCCATCCGCCGAGGCAGATGTCCCTCTCATTTGGCCCTGACTGGAAAGGAAATGGTAACATCTGGGAGGTGGAACATGATCCACTGAGGGGAGAAAAACAAGAGGGAGAAGAGAGTAAAGGAGGGGATTGACCTTCCTGGTTCAGAGTTAAAACAGGTGGGACAGCACAGGAGTAAAACACATTTCCTCTCCTTTCCAAACTCCCACTTCAGTTTTTAAATATAATGTCCAGTGGTGCATTTTTCCCACCAATAAATAAGTGCTGACAGAAAAAAATAAATAAATAAAACACAGCTGAGCGTGAATTTCTACTTCAGGATTTCAAAAAATAGCTTTGTTATCAAAAGAACGCTGAAGGAAAAATGTGCCAATTCTGCTTGATGACATCAAAAGAGACACAAGAACAAAGCTGGCATCAGTAAACAATATGGTGACTAAGGGACTTTAACAAAAATTTTAACATTTAATTTCCATTTAAAAATAAGTATTTCAATAAAAAAAGCATCAAAATAAAGAAGAAAAACAAGATAAATACAAGTTAACAAGCTGATAAGTTTTTTTATGCCATATTTTTGCATACAGAAGTAATCAGGTATCACAGCTTGATTTGGGTGGATTTAATGTTCAATTATCACCACTTTACATCTAAATCACAAAACAAGTTGAAAAACTCAATGAATGTAATTGAAATGAATCTACAGAGAATTTAAGAGCTACATCATGTAGGGAAATGTTTCTTTGCTGTGTCTGAAGGGTTCTCACAGAAAATTGTTCATTTCTATTTGCTCATCTTAAATTTCTGATTAGTTTGGCTTTGTGTTAATTATGAAGGTACTGTAAAACTTTAGGATTAAAAAAGTTTCAAATGAACCAGTTCTTATATATATATATATATAATCTATTTTAGTTTGTATAAAATTTTTAAAACATATTAAGGTATCTTTCTATAGATTAGAATGTCATCCAGAATACCATAATCATAATATCAGTGTGTGCAATATTTACTTCACAAAAGAAATTTGGAGTGCAATAAATGTTGACCCATAGAAGTATTTTGAACTTCCAATTTATTTGCCAATGTTGTATTCAACCAGTTCAACAGGAGATGATCTCACCAGAGGCAGAGAACTGAACAAAAATGTAAAATGTAAAAGCAGAAAACAGCTTATATCACCCCATGTTTTCTCCATTACAATAATTTCTAATATTTTGCAGCCTGACTTTGAAAGACTATCTATTTCATTAATGTAATTCAGAGATCGAACCTCATTTATCTTGTAGATTTATTATTGTATTTCTTTTCAAGATGTGATTATGGCTAAATAGTAATAGAAACGCCAAATTAATTTTCTCCAATAAAAAGAATGTCAAACAAAACCCTTAAAAAATATATATTTTTTATTACATTTTTGCCTTATTAATGTCACCCTATTTAAAAAAAATGTCTGCATACTAGACAGTATATGCACTCAATGCTCTTTCCTTGGACATCAGTCACTGCATCCATGCAGTGACTGATGGATGCGACCATTCTGTGGCTCTATTGAGATCGCTTTGAGCTCATCAGCATTTCTGTAGTATCTCATCTTTCGCTCAGCAAAACCCCTTGAAGAATCTATGTTAGATCATTTGTGTTTAGTGGTGGCTCAGTTGCATCTAACCAGTTTTTGGTGTCAAATCCTGCTAGAAAATGAAATCATCTTCACACAGTTTGTCAGCAGAGGGGATAATGAAGCACTCTAAAACTTTGTGGCTGCTCTTACTCTGGACTCGTTAAAACTCAGTAAACCAACACCAGCAGATGACAAAGCTGTGGAAACGTCATGCTGAGCTCTGAGCCAAACAACTTCGATTTTGTGCCTCTTCGTGCTCTCTCCAGAGTCTGGGATCTTTGATTTCCAGTCAAATGCAAAATTGACTTTATACTACTAAACAACAATTCAGTTCTTTTTCATTTTCTTTTTTTGTCGTAGATACAAAACTGAGGTTGTTGTCTCTGGATTAGGAGTGACTTAATACAACTAATCTAGGATATTTAGCCGAAGTCCTGCACACATCTGTGTTGGTGGATCTTAGAAGAGTCCAGCCAACTATCAAATCTACTTTACTTTATCTCATATCCTTTTTGCACTTGCACACTTTTTCCTTCCGCTTAACCTTTTTGCTTGGCTCCAGCATTCTGCTTTTTCAGCAAAGTCCTCTTGAACACTTGTAAAGTCAGCGCTATTACCCCTGATTACAAAGGCCACAGCATAATAATTTATCTACAAGATTTCCGACGCTCTTGTCAAATTTTAAGAACCTGAATGCAGGCAGTTTTCGTCAGTTGTGATCTTTACTCATCAGCAGAAATAAATGCTGTAAATATCTCACCAAGTGTGACCTGTCTTCATACCTCGTTCATTTTCACAAGCAATAAGCTACCTTTTAAATTTAACTGATATAACCTTGTACAATCGACATATTTTGGAAGGAAGTACAAACTGACATTCACGTGGTGCGTAATTACGCACTATGGAGACAATGGGAAAGTTTTGAAAAGGGAAGGACTTACTGTTGTCTGGGGTTCCGTGCACCATGCTGATTTTGTAGATCTCTTTGGCGATGTACTCCGTCTCTGTGTTGTCCTGTCCGCAGCTCTGCTTCCGATCCCTGCCCAGCTGCTCCAGAAGCTCCTTCGTGCTGTTATATAACGCCTGGATCTGATAGGGTACCTTGCTCGGTCCCAGGGAGTGCGGGGGGCTCGACAGCCGAAGCTTGCTCAGGATCTGACCCCGGATCGCCTCGACCCTCTTCCTCTTCACATGGTCGATGTCCACGGTGGCACAAGTGGACAGGGGCGAGCTCAGAGTCGCGCAGTTGAGGAGGAGGACGAACAGTAGAGCTTTGCCCAGATGCATCTTTCTGTCCGCATTTGTTTCGCTCTGGGAGCTGAAATGTGACGGCTCAGAGAGAGGACTGCCTCTACCTTTTAAACCAGCTTCTCTTCTTCTCCAGCTTAAAAACTAACCTGTGGACTCACTCCTCTTTGTGCAAATCCGAATTTAAGTTCGCCCATTATTTATTCACCCGATTCAGATCCCTATTAAGACTTTCTTTCTGTATTCGTCTGTTCAGTCCATCAGTCCTCCTGGTCCGTGAGCGGTTTGTCTCGCGTCGTTTATTTGGAGCATCAAGTTTTATTCTCCGTGCAGGTTGACCGCAGGCTGTCACGTTAACGAGGTATATGCGACTTCGAGCTGCTGATATGGCTTCATATGAGCTTTATAGGCTGCCGCTGCTTTCTGACGTTTGATGGAGGAGGGACCGCAGACACCCGGGAGCGCACAAATCACAACAGGGGCCCACTGCCACACTCACTGAGCCTGAAATACTAAATAACATTGCTTGAAAAAAATAGAGAGAGCGAGAAACATAAATTACTCTTTTGTTCCCCGGTGCTGTGAAACAGACTCCTTTGGAAGGAATGCTTACATGACGTTTAGCTTAACGTGGCGCAGACTGCAACCCAGATCTGGTCTTGGGATTATTTTGGTGCGCCTTATGTGATGATAATGAAGGATTGTGACAATATGTATTGTAATTGTGTTCTTGTAATATTGTGTGGGTTAATCTCCCTGGTAGTGCGTCCTTTACTGAACAAAAATATACCCACGTTTCATTACTTCATTCAATTTGAAAAGGAAACTTTTTTTTTTTTTTTTTTAGATATTGAGTTGTTAATTTGAAGCATTTTGTTAAACATAGCCACATACCTCACATTCTCCTTTTCTTTGGTCTTGACAAGATTTTACATTTAATGTTGATATACATTTTTACTAAAGGTATTTATTTCAGAACATTTCTGTGTATATTGGGTATTGAATGTAGGCTACTGCAATTTTTATTTAGTAGCTCTCCAAGGTTATTGTTTCAAAGCAATAACCCAGACAGGTTGGTTATATATGGAAATGTGTTCACTTTACTCAGACAGGTCAGAAAGTACGTCAATTGACTGGTCCAGTACTACCAAGGTACACCCGTTAAAATAGGCTGTACATTTAAGAAAATGGTGAATGCCGCAAGCGATGCCTAGATAAGAATGACTCAAGACAATGAGGATATATGATATTCCAAGTATTGTGAAGACTGCTTTGTCTGCAGCTGCAACACTGAAAAACATTCAAGCCAGTTTCCAATCCACAGGTATTTGGCCCTTCAATCTTGCCATTTTTGAGGAGTGTGACTATGCACCCTCACAAGTCACTGACCGTCCCAACCCAGGTACATCACTGACATCTGGAGCTTTCCAGCTGCAGTCTCCACCAACTCACCTAGGGATTGCCTCTTCTCCAACTCACCTGGAGACTACTACTATAAAGCAGTTTATGATGTCACCCTGTCCTGTGCTCCAGATGAGCCAAGTACCTCAGGGCTGTCTCCTGATCAGGCATTCAAACCTTCGGCTATGCGGCCATTTCCAAAAGCAGGTCCAAGAAAAACAGCTGACAGGATCAGGAAGAAAAGAAAATCTGAAATACTCACTGAGACACCAGTGAAACAAGCACTGATGGAAGAAGAACAGAGAAGAGGAAGAAAAAAATGTAAGGAAGAGTTTCTTTGCAAAGAATAAAGGCAAGCAAAAGAGGAAGGAGAGAAAGCCTGCCAAAAAAATGTTAAAAGCAAATGATAAGGATTCTGAGACCTCAGATGATGAATATTTTTGCGTTGTCTGTATGGAGCCATTTGGCGACTCAAAGCCACAGGAAGGGTAAAATGTGCCCTATGCAGTCTCTAGGCCTACCAAGCCTGTACTCTTGGGCTACCATCATTCATTTGTCACCACTGTGACTCTGATTAAGGATACACACAAAGACACAAACACACACACATTGACATTGTTTTTTGCTAGACCTACATGTTTGTAGTGTTCATTAAGCATACATATTAAGGAAGTTTGTTCTAGTAGAATAATTTACACACATGCACTCACACAAACAGAGCATATTTGAGTTATGGTCAGTCACAGAGAGAGAAAGAGAGATTGTTCTTGTATTGTTTTTTTAATTCAGTAAACCTCTTTTTGAAGGATATTACATGGTGTGGCCTCTGTTTTTGCTTCTTTTGTCTAATTGTTACAACTTACCCCAGCAGGTGTTACAACCTAACTCGGTAGTGGGGTAAGTTGTAACAAAGGAACACCATGTATTTGGCATGAACTCATGAGGTCTGTGATATTCTTGCAGAGGTTTGAATTGGTGCCATTTGTAGTAAACAAATGTGGGTATTTTGAATAAAAGTTTGAAAACTCTAGTTCAAAATTTCTATGAGTTAAAGGTGCTGGAGCAAAAAGTGTTACAACCATACCCGATTTCCCCCATTATAAATTAAATAAAGACATTTGTATAAAATGATACACATAATTATAACATCTAAAAATACCCAAATAATCCCACTTGCAGTTTGATCACAGTTGTCCTAAATAACATATATTATTGTTATACTTTTATGTTACATGGGACGAGTTGTGGAACTCTTAAAGAACCATCCTGATTCATTCTTGATTAAAAATGATCCCTTGTCTCTTGTTGTATATCTACCTGTAGGCAGAAGATAACAATAAGATTTAAAGCTGAGTGTTTCTGAGAAAAGTACAAAAAATCACCTGAAATATGCAGAGTAGAGGGATTAAGATATTTCAGCTTGTCTTTTCAATTAAGCTTTTCAGTCTACTTCCATCGGTAAATAAGTCATGAAGTTCAAAAAGACAGCTTGCTGGTTTCCTCGTCTGCTTCTTCTGCACTTCTCTGGTGCCAAGCAGTACTAAACAAAATCTAGTTGTTTGATGGAGATCTCGTATTACAGACACCATGCCAACATTTTCACTCAAAAGAATCAGTGATTCCTTCTGCGAGCACAGATTTTTCCCATGCCCTCTGCAGCCACCTTCCACACAAATGTCATTTGTTTCTGTCCTAATGTTTGACGGTTTGTTTGCGGCCGTCTGAGTTATTTGATTTTTTTCCGCCTTCATCAGCTTTATCTCTCTTATTAAGGCATATCCACATTTTTCAAACCTATTTAAGGTCAGACTGTTGCAGGGTCTGCAGGCCCCGTACTCAGACATGGGACCTAACATTTTACTATGTTGCTTTTGCCTGGCAGTTTGCATACCAGGAATGATTTCATACGATGTTCAATCTTTATATGGCAAACATTTGGTTTGAATGTTCATGGTACATAGGTGCATGATATACAAAGCTCTGTTTTATTTGGCTGGTTTTCCAAAACTATTAATGTGTGTTCACACCATTTTTAGGACTATTATATATTTTCTCAACTTGAGTTGATAAGAAATAAGAAAATTAATTTCTTTATACAACCAGTGCATTGAACCAGTTCCACGTTATAACCACAAACCTTAACCTATGTTAATGTGATTTTAAGTGACCAACACAAATTTGTAGGAATATAATACATGGTTTTAAAAAGATTTTTTTTTTTTACAAATAAAATCTGAAAAGTGTGGATTACATTTGTATTTAGACCTCTTTACTTTAGACTTAATATAAGCAGGAGTACAGCAGTTCTGTGAAGATTTCTGAAGCAGCCTGATTCCCCTTAATTTTTTCAAAAATGTGCAATATAGTCTATTATGTGTTTTTTATATTTTGAGTCACTGCAAACAAACTTGGGAGAGAAGCTCATCGAGCTGCTGTAATTATAGAGTGACATATAGTGACATACTCCCCTGTGGCACTTGAGCAGGTAAACACACGTGGCAGCTTTTAGTCAGTAATAAAACTCATACATATCATTTAGCTTGGACACATTTGTCGCAGTTGTCCATGAACACTGGTTTCTCACTTCACCACTTACAGTTCTGGCTGAGATGTCTTCATTCATAACTTGATCTGTTAATTGTTGCGCCTGCGATCCAAAACCTAAAATGGACTGAAATGAGTGTTTGTACGATCCAGAAAAAGAAGAGGGAAGGAGGTGTCTTCATGGCCATTGTGAAGCTATTTTAGGAGCTGCACCAAGGCCTCTGGTTTCTGTCAGCCACTCTCCCACAGCCATCCATGCACACTTTGATGCCCTGAATATTTGGAAAAGTTTCAAATCATTTTTATTCTGGCAATTTCGAACATTCTGTTTTAATTGTTTCCTTCCTAAACTTGCACTATTCCAGAGGATGCTTTTGTTTGTGTTTTTAAGGCAAATCTGTAATATTTAAATATGTGATTCAATTGAAATTAATACATTCATAAATTTGATGTGAGTTGTATGAGCTTAGGATTATCGCAAAGACACACAAGACAAAGAAAAAGCTTTTCAGAGAAGAAAAAGTAATCTGTCAGGTAGGAAAGGATGAAGGTTAATAGATGTGCAGCAGGGTTGAGTGACTAAAGATACAGAAATTTGTCAACAAGTGAGGAGAGCATATGGTGAAGATGCAAGAGGGACTATAAGAAGCTATTAAATTGATAAAATAAGTACTATTAATGAGCATATTTATAGTATGCTCATTAATGAATCTGAAAGTGCTGAAGATCATTAAGCAGAAATTATATGTAGATGGGAAGAAGTGCCACACTGCTGCAGATGTAGAGATGTGTAGAAGAGAAGGTAATGAACTTTTCATTTGAAAGCATTAATGAGATTTAATTATGAAGAGAAGTGATGATCAGGGAGCGTAAGTTTGGATTACCCCCACACCATGTTGATGCCACCACCATGTGTCATACTGAACATGGTGAGTGTGTTTGTTTTCCAATATGTGTCGCCTTTTGCATGTCACCCAACGAGTTCAGTTTTCCATCTGACTGGAACATCTTTTCCCACATATTTTCTGTGTCTCTTACATGGCTTGTGCTGAACTGCAGACCTGATGCAGCTCATGGAAGTAGGATGAAGGTTGGTGTAACACAGAAGGATGTAAACATTAGAGGAAGATGACAGAGTTGTTCCTGTATGGTAAAAAAGGAGCGGGTGAATTAAGATTTGTAACATTTTATGACACTGGCAAAGGCTTTCTGGGCCGCTTGACCTGAAGGCTTTCTGTGTTTTTTTTGGCAGTTCTCCATTAAGCCACCAGGTGATGCTGCATACCAGATCATAACATCCGCAGTCATTGAGGAAAGTCTACTTCCTAAACACTCCCAGAACTTACATTAAATATACCAAACCCAGTATATATTGCCCTCATTTTAACCAAAGCTATGAACTGCATGTAATGTGAAAAATTTATAGAAATATATTGGTCA